AGTTCTGATTTGTGGGATCCATATCAGCTCAAACAACTCCACTGATAAGGCCTGCCCTTCCCGCCCCGCTAAAAAGCGAGACTGTTTTGGAAGTTCTTAGGGCCCAGCGCGTACGTTTTCAGTTCATCCTGTGCGGTTGAACCTTGTTGCGTCACGCTGGAAACTGCAATCGGTTTGAACCGTTATCGTTTTTCACCATGGGTGATGAAATGTAAACGAACCGCAAACGTACGCGCTGGACACGCCCTTAGGTTGCCCAAGCGACAGATCGATGGAACACTGTAGACCTGACAGGGAGCTGAGGTGTTGGCTGAGGTTCCATTTCTGCCCGCTAGCTACTTTCCAGGTGGCGCCATCGACTCTTCCCCCGCCCCACACTTGTCCGTTCGACCTCTCGAATCTCCCTCGAAGTGGCGATCGTGTCCATTGATTGCGATACGCACATACACCGATGGCCCACTTCCAGCCATCCATCTCACAATCGAAATCTCCCCCGATTCCCGCGTTTCAACAACCCTATCCCTCCCCTTGTTTTGGTTCGTTCGTCCCTCCACGCTTAGTACCATTCATTTGCTTGTGGCATTGGCTGCGAAGTCAAGGATTCAAGGCGCAGAAAACAAGTCTTGAGATGAATGTTACCCACTCACTCGAGTCTTCACTTTTCACGCAAAATAGTTGCGCAGCCGCGTTTCTTACGCAGCTGCTGGTCTTGATTGCCTTACCTGGCTCTAGAAACGTTGGGGCTCCTTTCCAAAATACATTTTTGTTGCAGCATCACCGCATTCCTGATTCCGTTTACGGTCATAGGTCACTAACTGGATTATTCTCCAGCACCAGCAGCTACATTTCTCAGCCTTAGAGATCGGGCCTAGTTGTTACAGTAGCGTTGTCTAAGCAAGAACGATTGGGCGTCGTTAGCGAAGCGTGCGACGCGTGCGAACATGTCGATACCAATGGAAGATGTCCGTCGCGTGTTTGGGATTCACGCAAACAGATCACCCGTTATCTCGTGCGAAAGATCATCCGAAGGGTTCGCAACTCGTTCTTACGTTCCGGGCTGTGGCCTCTTACGAGTTCCAGATGCTTTCTTCATTGTTTTCTCCATTGCGCGTGTTACGTTTCGCGTCTGGTTACGCAGCATTCGGAGTTTCTCTGGTGTATTCGAATCACTTACAGTCTCATGACTGACAATAATCTTCCGTCATTGCTCAGATCGCACACGCATTGGCGGAACTAGCCGTAGAGCAAGGGCCTGACCTCCATTACAGCATCACAGAAGGAAGCGGGCCGAACAGGTATGAATGAGAGCCTGATTGTTCTGTGAAATGCTCAGGTTCAGCGACTTTCGAAACCTCGAACCTCGCCGTACCTGTTCGGTTGTTGAAATGGCTGCGACTTTTGGCTCCTTCGCAACATCGCACGAGGGAGTCGTCGAACATGTGCGAATGTGTGCCTAATAGCCGTAATTGAACTGCAGCACCTAACTAAAGTAAAACGGAAAGAAATTTGCTAAAGAAGCGGACGTAAGCAGGAAAATATCAGGCAATTTTGGTTAGGCACAAGAACTTACCGCTTTTTCCCGCCTTCCCTCCCCCACAGCCCATCCTCCATTTCCCCCCTCCTCCGCGCCGCCTCTTATCCCCCCCCCGATTTACCCTTCCCCCCCCCTCTTTCCCGCCCTCCCCCCTCCGCTCCCCCCGCCCCTCCTCCTCCGCAGCTAATGGCCCTGGTGGTGGCGAAAGGGGCGGAGGACCAGGCACTGGCGGAGGCGGCGGCGCAGCTGCTGGCGATGACGGCAGCGAACGACAAGAAGAACCCGCACCTCATGCACGTGGACCGATGGGTCACTACGTGCTGCAGCGTGCTGAGTGAGTGATTGATGCGGCCTGTGTGAATGCTGCGGCTGATGCAGAACTGTTGGACCGATGGGTGGTTCACTACGTACTGCGGTGTGCTCAGTGAATAATCAGTGATGTCGCTGTCATAACTCCTCCACAATGCTGCAATGTTTGAAAAACGACAGCGTGGTATGTGTTATGAGGCGATTCAACTTACTTTACTTTTGTTTCCCTCTCTATCTCCTTCCTGTCCCCCAACCTATCCCCCCGACCCCTCCCCGTCTCCGTCTTGCTCCCCCGCCCTTTTTCCTCGTCCCCTCCTCTTCCTTCCACGCTCTCCTCCTCCTCCCCTCCCCTCCCCTCCCTCCCCTCCCCTCCCCTCCCTTCCCCTCCCCTCCCCTCTCCTCTCCTCCTCGATAGAGCGGTGCAAGGGAGCGAGCGACAGCAAGAGGCGGAAGAGCAGCTCACAAGCCAACGCCGGCGAAGCAGACACTGCCGCAGCAGCAGCAGCAGCCGGGGGAGAAACAGGGGGAACGGGGGGAACGGGGGAGGCGGCGGCGGGGGAGGCAGTGAGCGAGGGCGCTGCTGGTGTGTGCATGGCGAGCTGTCTGGCGGACTTAATGAACAACCCGCGCAGCACCATCGTGTGCAGCACGCGCGCGCAGGAGATCTTCCAGTGCCTGCAGCCCGCGCTGCTGCTCGCCGCGCGTCTCTCCAAACCGCCTGCTCTACTTCCAGGTCTGCAGGGCGGTTTCCGAGGTGCTGCACCCCTCCACGTGGCCCATGAACCAATCCGCCGCCGTTCCCAAGCGCCTGCTGGAGCGGCTGATTGATCTAATCACTCCGGTTAAGGCCTCGGTTGCTGGTGGTGTGAAGGGTGCTGATGGGTCGGGGTGATAAGGATGCTGGTGGGAATGAAGCCGATGCCACTGCTGCTACTGGGTGCTGCTCAGAATGTCGCTGAGAATGGGTAGGGGAGCGTGAGACAGAGGCCACGGAACCCGCCTTGCCAAACGGCACAGCTGCTGCAGACGCAGAGGCAGCTAAAGTAGCAGGGGCAGAGGCGGCTACAGCAGCAGCGGTAGAGGAGCAGGAGGGCGGCGGCAGCGAGGGCAGCAGCAACGAGGGCGACGTGACAGGAGTCCTTGATCCACAATGCAGGCGTGCAAGGCGCTGCTGGTGATGGCCACGAACGGCGCAGCGGATCTGATCGTGCAGCACGTGCCCGGGGTGATGGGCGCGCTGGAGCGGCTCAGGCAGGAGTCGGGCGTGGAGGAGGCCGTGGTGCAGGCTGACGCCGCGCTCATGGCGCTCTGGCTGTCACCCAAAGGATACTCGCTCTCCAACCCCGAGGTTACGGGTATGGGTTGTCTGATACTGTAGGTGTTGACGCCCGGGGTGAATGGGCACGCTGGAGCGGCTCAGGCAGGAATCGGGTGTGGAGGAGGCCGTCGTGCAGGCTGACGCTGCGCTCATTAGGCGCTCTGGCTGTCACCCAAAGGATACTCGCTCTCCAACTTCGAGGTGAGGATATGAGCTCCCTGGTTTTCCACCTGCAGGTGTCAAGGAGGGTGCTCTTTGTGACTCTCGTCATGTCTCATTCTCCCCATTCCCATTGTCGTTCCCCTGTCCTGTTCCCTCGTCCTCGCTCATCCCCTCTCCTCCCATCCTCATTCCTGCCCTTCACATTCTTTCCCTCCCCTCATTCCTGCCCTTCGATTTCTTTCCCTCGTCTCACTCCTGCCCTCCGAATTCCTGTTTTCCCCAGCTGCGTCCAGTGGTAGCAACACACCTGCTGAGGGTGCTCGGTTCACCAGACTTGGTGGATAACCACCAGGACGTCAGCTTGGCACTGGTGACTCACTCCATGTCTCATTCCCCCTTCTCCCCCATTCCCGTCCTCTTCCCCTGTCCTGTTCTAACTTCCCTTGTTCATTCGTGTTTTCCTCCCCAGCTGCGACCGGTGGTAGCAGCGCATCTGCTGAGGGTGCTGGGCTCGCCAGACCTGGTGGATAACCACCAGGACGTCAGCTTGCTCTGGTGACGTCAACCATCAACCCTGACGCTGCCACGCGGGCCAGCATGCTCCAGCTGTACGCGGGACTGCTGAGTCAGCAGCAGGAGCTGACGCACATCCTGATTGGCCACGTGGATGACACTGACAGCCTGGCACACCAGGTAAGGGGAGGAGGAAGCGGGGAGTGAGGGGAGGGGGAGGGGGGGGATGAATGGGGTTGGGGGAGGGGGAATGAGCGGGGATGGGGAGGGGGGATGAAGGAAGAGGGAGGGAGGGATTAGGGGGAGGGTGAGGAGGGAATGAGGGAAAGGGGTCGGAAAAGGAGAGAGAAGAGGGAGGCAAGGTTGAGAAAGATTGGAAAGGAGTACAGTGGATGGATGATGCTTCGAGTCATGACGTTATCCCCACACTCCCTCCTCCACCCCTCCCAACTCACTCATCCCTGTCCCAACACAACTTTCTCCTCACACTCGTTTCCATCCCTCCTACTCCACTCGCCCTATTAGATCGTGACTCATTTCGTGCTGCACACATGTGAATCATAAGAATATGCTAAGGCCTTTAATTCGCAGCCAAACAGAGGGCTTACAGTCTTTGCAACAACTGCTTCTTCCTCTTTCTCAACTATCTCCCCACTCACACTCTCCCCACATTTCACATACCTCCCCTCACTCACTTCACCCACGCACACTCTCTCTTCCCACACACTCTTCTCACACACTCCTCACCACACTCACCGACACATTCGATCTGCTTGCACTGTCAGAGAATGGTGTATCTTGTGCTGTACATGTGCGAGTCAGAGAACTGTGCCATGAGTCACCCTGACTCATGTTTCGAAGAGGCTTTTCGGAAGCTTAGGGTTTTCCAGATCTGCGTTTTTTTTTTCACAAGATTTTTACTGTTGTTCCTTTGCTTAAGCGTCCTCTCTACTACTGCAGCCTTCGAAACATGAGTCAGGGCTCGCACTGTCAGAGCATGGTGTATCTTGTGCTGTACATGTGCGAGTCAGAGGACTGTGCCATGACCTTCACAGCCAACCAGGCTTGACAGATTCGCGACTGTGAGGAAACTTTCTCTTTCCCGCTCACACTCATACCCTCTGCTCACTCCACTCACCCCCATTCAACTACCCGCCCCATCAGAGGCGTGGTGCACTTAGTGCTGCACACGTGCGAGTCAGAGGACCGTGCCAAGGCCAACTGTCTTTCTCCCTTACTCTTCGACTTCCCCCATCAGAGCGTGGTGCATTTCGTGCTGCATCTGTGCGAGTCAGAGGACTGTGCCAAGGCCTTCACACACCCCCCCCCTTGACCTCACCCCTATCCCCCGCGTGCCCCATCAGAGCGTGGTGTATTTTGTGCTGCATTTGTGCGAGTCTGAAGACTGTGCCAAGGCCTTCACAGCCAATCAGGTGGACTGTGAGGCGCTAGTGGCAGCGCTGGTGGTGGCGGCACAGGCAGAGAATCACTACGCACCCATCGCTGTTCTTGTTCGCCTGGCTAGCCGTCCTACCACCTGGTAAGCAGTGGGGGATGGGATGGGGCTGTTTTGTGCTGCTGTATATGCATGCGCGTGCATGCAAGGGGTTTGCGTGATTTCTCTGGAGTGTCTGGTGGCAGTGCTAGTGGTGACAGCTGCTACAGAGAACCAGAGAATCACTATTCGCCAATCGCTGTCGTTGTTTCACTTGCCAGCAGGCCTGGCACTTGATGCGCTCTTACGCGTTGTCCTGTGCATTGATGTGTGTGCCAAGTAAAAACTGTGGATTCTCTCTCACCGCCCCTGCTTCCCACCCTCCAACCCCACCACCTCTCCTCCTGCATCTTACGCCTTCTTCCGCCTCTAACCCCTTCACAGGGACCAGGTACTCACACACATCGACACCAGAACACTCAATCGCTTGCGCGCCATTCCCGGCACCCGCCCCCGACGAGAGGTAATCTCTGCTTCTGACCCTTCCCTGCTGAATCTTCCCTTCTGACTCTTCCCTGCTGAATATTCCCTTCTGACTCTTCCCTGCTGGATCTTCCCTGCTGACTCTTCCCTGCTGCTCCTTTCCCAGCATTCTTCAGTCAGCCCTTCATCCCCATCACCACCCCCCCTGACCCCCCCTCCTGCTCTGGTTGCATCCCTGGATTGCTGCCTTACCCATCCCTCCCTTCCCTGTTTCCCTCGTTCCATCCCTCCTTCATCAATGTTCCATCTCACTCACCACCCTGACTTCCAACCCTGCCCAAATATCACCCCCATTTAAGGTGCCTCTAAAGAGTACTCAAATAACACTCCCATTCCCCCTCTTTCTCTCGCTTCGCCTGCAGGTTGATCAACTGGCTGCAGCATATGCAGAGTACAAGGGAGAGAAGCCCCCAGAGCGCACAGCATCCATGCCATCGGAGGAGGAGCAGTCCAAGGAGGACATTCTGAGAGACATTGTACGCAGCCAGTCCCACAGGAGCCTCAAGTCAAGAACTGCAGGGGATAAAAGCTTTGAAGATCTGGCAGGCGCCGTTGCAAGCGCGGCGACAGGCGTTGCCAAGATCACTGTAGAGGAGTCGACAGATGCTTGAAGTGAAGTGAACTATGAGAGTATTGGTCTGGCCGGGAGTAGTGGAAAGGCAACCCCGCTACGGTGTTTTCTTCCCTGTACTCTAGGGAATCTTTGTCTGGATAGGAAAATAGGGTGCTTGTGAATGCTGTGGAGTGATGTTTTTGTGTGTGTAGTTGAGTGGCAGGTGGTTGAATAAGATTCATTCCTGCCACTTCCTGCATGATAGTGCATGCAGAGTGGTTCGTACAAGAGCATGCACAGGACGGCTGTGTATTGTTTGATACCGTCGAGGGTTAGGTTCAGGGTCATATAATGCTGTGTGGAAGAGTTGATTCTTGACTGAAAACAGCTATTTCCAAACATTTACCCAATTATGGAACTATAAACAGAACCTGCAATAGTTGAAAGAGGGGAAAAAATGTCAATGGTAACTTGCATGGGCAATTATGACGCGTACGATAACGATGTCAACGCGTTTGGTAACCCGTTTAAACGCGCTTGGTAACTCGCTTAACACGTTTGGTAATTCGCTTAATGCGTATGGTAACTATACACTACACCCTGTTTTCTCGCTACACTGAACTGTGCCGAACTGGTGGAAAACCTTGTTATCTTCGATTTACCTAATTGGACCATACCGAAATGCAATTTAACCACCGTTAATCGTGCTTTTCCCATCTTGTCTTCATTGTAACCGAAATCATAATGGCAAGAAAGAGGGTGTAGCAGCCCATCACGCGAATGGTAACTAGAAGAAACGCCCAACTTCATTGATACTCAAATTATGCCAGAAGCGGTTTGCAAACGTAATTAACCAACAATTTTGCAGTGTAGTAACAGAGAATACTGTTTTATTTATTTATAAGCACAAACCTGAAACAATGTCGCCACCAGCTGCTCCGCACATATCCAACAAAAAAGGAAACATACCGTCATCGCCCGGACATAAGACATATATGTCTTATCTCATACATTAAAAAAAATGCTTGGGTTATCTTGTATTTGGGGAGGTTTTGGGTATGTGATAAGTCTTATAAATGGAAACCTTTTTAAACTACTTAGAAATATTTTCACGCATCTTGAAAAGAGTTTCTCATTAAGAGTGTCGATGTTGCGAAGTTGCTACTTCGGCAACCATTGTTCGGGACGCCACGTCATCCCGAATACTTGCAGAGTCAAATTTGGTAGTACGTGACTCAACACGTGGCAGAATTCGCGTGTCCCAAGGGTAAAAATGTACGCGGTATTTCAATTTTCACTATAATACATTGCAGTTTTGATTATAAGACACATATGTCTTATCTCGTACACACAAATAGGTGTCGTATAAAAAGGCTAGCTTGTTTATAAGAGACACCCGTATAATAGACAACCCCTGTCTACTATTCAACACTGTCTTATATCCGGGCGATGACGGTACTAAAACGCTTGGATAACCAGGACGGAATTTGGAAATGTTAACCCTAAATACGGGAACTCGTGAAGTGTTTATGACGACACCGCCCAATGGAGTCTGCTACATGCGGGCAATTAAAAATAACCTTCCTGTTAAAAGACATCAATTAAGAATGACATTAACCCTAAACACATTGTCGCATGATGTTTAGAATTCATGTCATCCGAGAGGTTTTTTATTTTATTTCGAACGAGGTCAGCATGTCCACAGTCGACGGAGGGTTAACGGTGCTGTCAACCCTAAGGTCATATCCCAGCCTAGTATCAAGAAGTTGGTGTCAAGACGTTTACCGCACACGATTGGTCCAAAGAAGACGCTTGACCAATCGCATTGGCCGAGCGTCTTCTTTGGACCAATCGCGTGCGCAAACTTCTTGACACCAACTTCTTGACAACAGCCAAGGATACGACATAATCCGTTGAGTTATTCCCAGTCTGCATCATTTTTCCCAATGACGTTTTTTTTTTTATATTTACGCAATTCTTGCTTGATACAAATTTTAATGGGTTGAGTATTCAATAAATTTTTCGTGTCTATTCTTAGGTAGAACCTCGACACAATAGTGTATATTTGAGTTCGGTAATTGCGTTCTGTTTCTGTCACATTTCGGGGTTGTTACTAGTGTAAAAAGTGTGATTGAAAAACGAGTACCGATCAGAGATGAGCAATCTAGGTTGAGTATCGATGGAAAACGTCTCTGGCATAATTTGAGTATCAATGAAGTTAGCTGCTAGAAGAAACCCTCGCCCAAAATGACCCTCATTCTGGTTTTTCCCGCTCGCGTCAGACGAAATTGACGAATCCTGAAGCAGAAACCTTTGACACTCTCAGAGATTCTGACACATCTTTCCGAAATTCAGACACACTTTCCGATTTTCAAGCGAATTGCAAGAGCGTGAGTGTTGTGAGAACAACTGGTCTTACATAACTGACATTCTGGCGCTCTTTCCGCAAACTGTTTATACTTCATTCTATCGTGCAGCCGGGGAAAAAAAATCTACACCCCTTTCAGATGGCAAATGAATTTGAGAGGCGACGGTAAACTCCTTGCGAGAAGGCGTTTATGGTTACAGAAAAATGAAACATGTAATTCTAAAGAGTTTATATTTTCCCACATGCAAAAATTCTCCAATGTTCCAGGAATTACAAAAAGTAAAAATCCCGATGTCCTTTCGGGGAATGTTTTTCTAGATAATTTTGCAAGCTCGCAATCATGCTATCTAAAATAAGATTTTAACAGCTCTGAAACTTTTCGGTCCGTGGTAGTATAATAAACGGGATCCTTCAAAGTCGCGGCGGGACTTGTTCAGAAGGGATAAAACTGTCCGTGTAAGGAAAATTCATTTTCCTTACTTCGCATCATTGCTCAACGCGTACATCACTGTAGCACCACAGTCAGCACCGTTACCACTCGCAACCCTCGCATCGACAATCCGCCCGCCACCTTCGCACATCGCATCTCGACCTGACGGCTCGGCGGGTAACCCGCGCTCCAGGCCTCCGCTTCGACACTTTTTCCAACCTCAGTCCCAGGCCCGTCGCGCGACAACCACAGTCCATTACCGTTACCACTGTAGTTTCGCTATATATTCTTCGCTCATGCCTTCGCTCATTGTACTCTTGCTTCGATAGTGCAATTCTCAATAGTTCACTCAATTGCACTCGTAACAGTGTGTAAAAAACTTTCAAAATCGATAAATTTCTTTTTGTCAGGATCATTTCGGCGGGAGTTTCATGTAATTACCATTCGCGTGATGGGCTGCTAGTGTATAGTTACCATACGCGTTACGTGAGTTACCAAACGTGTTAAGCAAGTTACCAAACGCGTTAAGCAATTTACCGTACGCGTTATAGTGCCCCATGTAAGTTACCATTGACATATTTTCCCTTGAAAGGGTTTCGTGACATCGATAGTTCGACACTTGCTTTTCCCCTCCTCCAGCGAGTATTCCTGACGAGCTCGGAAAATAGACGGCGTCAATCTGACGATATCGTCCAACCTCTCGGATTTCACGGTTTGGCGTGTCTATCCACTTAGAGGGGCTAGTTTAGTTTTGCTTGAGAACGTATTCGACCACTTTGTTCTCCCAGAGAAAGGTTTTGAACCGTAACTAACCAGTAAGTATCCTGGAACCGCACAAGTCACTTCAAAACATGCTCGAGCCACCAACGATATACGGATTTGAAAATTGGGGAAATTCCTCCAACCCCATTCTTGCTGCCGCTGGTTGTTTTCCTGTCATGGCTTGCAGGCCAGCGCGGCATCGGAAATATCGATTAGATAGCGACATTGCTCTTCGAGAATAACGTCGTTGTTACTCGACGAATGGCGATAGTTCAGCCAGGTTTCAGTTTCGTGGACCATTGAGATTCCCAACAGTTTTGACAAGGACTCCTTATCCGGTTTTCTGATTTCACGGAGCTGATGTTGCATTCGAGGCAAGCTGGTCATGAGCTTATTCCGTCAGCCTTACGATCTGACGATTCCAATATCACGGACGAGTGTTCCTTCGCCATTTCCGATGCAGAATCGAAAGCCCAGCATCAACGTTTTCCAGGACGGCGGGTTCTCACTGGTCCCCTTAAAAATGGGTTGTCGCCATTATCCATTTTCACATATTACTGAAGGAGAAGTCTGTTACCTTCTAGACTGGGTTTACTTGTCTTTCGAATACTCCAACACATGCAGCCTTTTCCGGTCAGAATTTCTGCCGCAGCGAAGTTCATTTCTCGTCAAGGCCTTTCATTCTACGCTTTGGAGGAGATACTCGCGTAGTCGTTTCACGTCCTCGTATTCAGGAAAAGCGAAAGGAGCTTTTCCGGTGAGCAGTGGTTTGGTTCATGGGACCGGTGAGACGAAGAAGAGAGGCACTGCAAGGAAAATTGCAAGAAACCCCGGTGGGGAAATCACGCTCAGACGTTTGCCACAAGTTTGCCAAGTCGGAAGGTGCAGCTTCTTTTTCAGATAAGTCAAGCAGTGACTTTGAGATGGAAGCCGGTAAACCACAGCAAAAGAAGGCATCAGGTGCTACAACAACTTCAACAGCAACAGTCCATGCAGCAGCAGATAAGGGTGTACCAACAGGACAATTGACGGCTAAGCCTGGCGAACTGATATCGCTGATGGACGCTGATGCTCCACCTACCCCTCCGCCTTCTCATGGACATTCATTCCCAACTGGAGTAACGGATTCGCCCGCAACTCCTCTCAGCGTCAATACATCCGCATCCTCTTCAGCGACATCCTCATTAACAGCAGGAGGCTTCTCTATTTCGATTTCGGAATCAGAATCTGGTGCAGGTGTTGCAGCAGCACCGGTTCCGTCATCAGGAGATTCATCCTCGTTATTGGATCTCAACGTGGACGTATATGGAGGCATGGATCAGGTGTACCTCAAGGCAGCTGGCATGCGCAGTGACTTCACCATCACGTTTGGCGCTACAGTCAACTACCAACTTCACAAATTCCCCCTCTATTCCAAGGTAGAGGGATCTCCTACCCTTGTCAGAGTGAACCTCGGTAGAGTGTGTGCATCTTTAGCTTGACCGCAAATCTGTTTGAACTTTTTCTTTTCATCATTTCTTTCGTTGAACCTTCATTTTATTTTCTGTGTCATTGTCAGACTGACTATTTCTCCAAGCATGCTGTGGAGGAGGAGAAGAGCAGCTCCAGGCGGAATTCTGGAGACCCAGAGAGCTCCGCCAATGGGAAGCGAGCTCGTCTTGACCTCTCCAACCTCCCAGGCGGAATCGAGACATTCAAACTCGTCGCATGCTTCTGCTACAGCGTTCCCATTACAATCACCCCTGATAACGTCACAGCTCTCTACTGTGCAGCGATTTACCTGGATATGAGAGATGACCCTCGAGCTGCCATGTGCGGTGGTCCCTATGACTGTAACCTGCTTACCCTAGCGTCTCGCCACCTCACCTCGTATCTCTCTCACCCCCGGGCTGCTCTGACTGTTCTTCAATCGTGTGATGCCAGCTCAGCGATCCGGGCGAGTGCTGAGTCAGCAGGGCTGCTGCTGACCACTGTGAACGCGGTCGCACGATTGGTAGTGAAAGAAGCGGGGAAAGGTGACGACGCTTATGACGGTCCTGATGCCGCTGCTGTCAAAACAGATAAGGCAGGCAGGGAAGAGAAGGACAAGGATAAGGTTGCAGATGGAGCTGCAAGTGAAGCGGAGGAAAAGACGGACTCGGCTGGCGCAGGACCGCTGTGGCTGTCACCCCAGTTGCTGCATCTGTCCCTCCCCACGTTCGTCCAGCTGCATGCTGCTCTAAGGTGAGTTGCGCTAAGAGCGGTGGGACACCGGACACCCACACCACTTCTCTCCCCACACCACTTTTGGCTTCTCAATACCCCCACCCATCCAACCTGAGGGTATGATTGTTGCGCATATATGACCTTTGTTAGGGTTAAAGTCTCTTCTTTAACCTCTCTCTTTCCTCCCCGGCCCCTCTTTTGTCGGCTTCCCTCCATTGTTTACTTTGTCAATGCCAATGGCGAACCCGTTCATCAGCGCCATTGGGATGTGTGCGCTGCATCTCAGTGCCCTGCTGCACCTGACGTCTCTGGTTCATCCTCTCTTATTCCGTGCTCCTCTTCTTTTTCTCTCCCCATCCATCCTTCCGATGCTTATCTTTGTTGCTCCCATTCATCAGCTCCCTGGGCATGAGTGCGCTGCATCTCTTTGCTCTGCTTGAGGCCTACTGCAACACGTGGCTGCCATTCCCTGTGGTCAGCTCTTACGATTTCACTGCTGTCAATTTCTGTCAATGGGTTCGTTTGCACTCACACAGTCTGTCCTTATTACTTCGCTTCCCATGGTCGCGTCGACACTTTCAATCACCAGTCAATCATTCCCTAAGGCTTGTTCATCAATGTCTTGTTCATTTATTACTTTGTCTCGCCTGCGTGAAAACACTCTTGGTGATGAAATAACTGCACTACGATTCCTGCTTTTCCAAACTGCCTTTTCCGTCCTTCCATCAATCAGGACGTCCCATCCACGTCCACATCACCTGCAGCCACGTCAGCAGACGCCCAGACTACTTCCACATGGAAGCCAACCCTGGAAGCAGCAGTAGCGCTGCTCTTTGCACTCTCAGCTGGGCCCTCCGCAACAGGGCAGGCTGGAAAAGGGGCTGTGGGGCTGCCGTCCATTCAGCTGCTGGTGCGACTGCTGCGCCTCTGCCCTGAGGTCGATGCCAGCAAGTCTGCCAAGTCGCGCCTGCAAACGTAAGGAGTTGCTTGTTTGTTGAACTTCTGTTGAATTCACGTATGGTCATTGCTTTGTGATCATCAACCGTTGGCCTTTCACCTCCTTGGCACTGCCCTCCTTTGCAGCATGATTGGCTGTCGGATCACCGAGTGTCAAGTCGACCACCTGCTTCCTCTTCCTCCATCTGAGATCCTCGCTCTCCTCACAATCTTCACTTCAAGCACGCCTGATACAAACGCTTCTGCTGCAGCTGTGGAAGGCGCAGGCGCTGCCAGCCTCTCTCAGGCTGCATCTATTGTGGACAGTTACTTGAAGGTGCGACACTACACCTATGTTACCCTTCCAGCTTAAGAGCATGCCTTTTTGCAGCATAAGTATGCTGAATCCATTCCATTGCTGTACCCATACCCTGGCATTCCTACCCCCCCTTTCCCCCCTTACCCCAATTTACTAAATGCCGAAATCACTCTTTCCAGCCATCCCCGTCATCTCTTTCGAGTGCAACTGGCTGCTCCTACTTTTTCAAAACTATGTTCCATTTCGTTACCACCCGTCCCGCTTCAGGCCATCTCCACCTCTCCCAACAGCAGCAGCATCAGCCCCGACTCTTTCATATCCCTTGCAACCGCACTGCCTCTCGCCTGCCGCCCCTTGCACGATGCTCTCTATGAGGCAGTGGCGGCTTACGTAGCAGCCAGGGGGTGGGGGGTGGGGGGGTCTGTGAAAGGAGGGGGGGAAGGAAGTGGAGGAGGGGAGAGAGGAGGCGAGGAGGTTAAACTCCTTGTTGGCCTGATTCAGCCTGAGAAGCTTTCAGGTAACTTCTCATTACAGTGGTTATGTGGTATCCTCGTTTTTGGCCTACCCTCCCTGGAAACTTGCATGTGACTAGTTTTCTACCTTGTCCCATCCCCCATCCCTCATCCCATAACCCATCTTATCCCCCCTTCACCTCCTCATCCCATCCCCATCCCGTCACCCATCTCATCATCCCATGCGCCATCCCACCCCCCCTCCGCCCATCTCGTCGTCCCTTCCTCCATCCCATGTGCCATCCTCGTCGGTCAGAGCCAGTCGCAGATGCTGCCTCATCCACCTCCCTCTGGCCGCCCTCCTTCACTGTAGCAGTGCTGACATGGCAGAAACAGGTAAGCCGCCCAATTTCTGCAACATTCTGATAGGATCCATCTGGCAAAGATGCACATTGTTACAAAGATGCATGTCATTGGCTTCCCTATCAATCCTCTTTCCTACACCCTTACTCCTATGCAAAACCATCATGTCGAATGTCGCGTATATTCCCCCTGGTATTCGCTCTCTCAGCTGCTCGCAAACCATGCACAGCAGCTGATGTCACGAGGCAGGGCGCTGCAGCAGCAGAGGGAGCGGGCAGAGAGGGAGAGGGAGCAGCTGCAGAGAGAGGGGCAACAAATGCAGGCAGAGGTGGAGGAGGAGGAGGGGAAGGCTGTTGCTGTGAGGGCGGATATCAGGCAGGAGACTCACGGGCTTACGCAGGCTTTGGTGCAGGTGAGTGTACCTTTTAACATTTTTTGGCGGCACTTGGTTTCGTAGTGACTGCTCTCTGTGTTGTGCATGCATGGAGAAACAGAATGTGCTTGATTCTGGCATTTCAGGCTCGGAGCTAGGGTTATGCAGTATGGTTTTACTTGGTTAACTGAGCTGGCAACGTGTCTTGTTTATGATTCCATGCAGGTGCGATCAAGCATATCTGATTTGGAACGAGACCTGAGTGTAGCACTTGAATCCAAAGCTCGCCCCAAGGTATGAAGCTGAGACATTGAGACTGCAGCCTGTTTTTTGTACTACGTTCCCATTCTCTAATAATGCTGGCATCGTAACAGGGCAGCAACACCGCCCTGTCATTATCCTCCTTCCCTATGCTCTGGTTTGTGCAGAAGCCAACATCTTTCTTCAGAAAGCTCTTTCAGCGGTCTAGCCGTGCTAATCAGTGCACGTTCTGTCCATTCTGACACTTATGGTGCTAGTCAAGTCAACATCGTTTCATTGTATGTACATAATCTTAGCATTTTAATACACTTATTTCACAAATACCAAAACAGAGGAGCAGCTTCTTGGGGAGGAGCTCGCTCGATGTATCTCCCAAGGCCCAGAAGCCGCATCCTCCTCAACGCACCAAATAACGTAACAATTTTATTTGTCAAAAATGGAGTCGTGACAACCGCCAATATGGCGGCGCTCTCCGGTGGATCCTTGCTCGCCGAGGCTCTGCGCAATATCGCAGCGCTTCTTGTATGTAACTGATATGGCGTTATAGCAGTTAGAATCTGAGGTAAGTCCCAAGCTGAAACCTTAAACCTTGAAAGGGTTTCATGAAGCAGCCTTCACACACGAGACTGCCGCAGCACGACTCGCGCGCAACGCAATCCGCTCCCGAACGGCCCATTCGAACACGGAATCGACACTCGAGGTCGAGCAACGGTTGGTTGACGCAACGACGCGGCACCGAGTAGAGCAATGCGAGCAGCAATGCGTGCCGACAGATTCGATTCTTGAAGAGTTGCGGGGAATAGTGTTGTTAACGGGAGTTCCAGAAGCGGGGGTTCTAGTGGTGGTGGTCGCGGTTGTAGATCGGGTCGCGCGGTTCCACATCTCGAGTCGCCGATCGCTCCTCGCGCGCCAGTTCAAATCCGCGGGGCTGCCGTTTTCCGCCGTGCGGTAAGAAATGGAGCCGCTGGCATCTCTGCAGAAGACCGGATCAGCCGATGCGCAGCGCGGGATGTGCAACGAGGTGGTGTGGACGGCTGTGATTGGACGCGACGCCGGCGACGATGGGGTCGACGAGGATGTCGCACAGGCGGAAACGGCTCGCAGCCGCTCTGTCGCATGATGGTCGCCAAGGTTGGATGGCGTTGCTGCCGGCAGATCGACAGTTCTCGGTCTGATATCGTGGGAAGAATCGCGTGTAGAAGCCATTTCGTCGAATAATAAATCAGTAGCAGCAGATGACGCGATGATAGTGCGTAAACGGAATGATCTCAGTCCCGATGAAGGTGCTAGGCTGGAGAGTGAATACAGCTTCCAGCTGGATTTCGATGATGTGGGCTGAAGTAGAAAACGGCTGATGGAGATGAAGGAAATGGAAGACCCTTTATTGTGAGTTGAACACACAGCAGCACAATCCGTTCAGCACTGGTAGCTGAAGCGACAGGGGCTCCCAGCCATGGGATGTCGTTGGGGAAGGAGAAATGTGCGGTGGTGGTGGAGAGGCGAGATGTGTGCGGGGAGGCGGGGCGAGGCAAGTTGAGGGAAAATGAGGGCGTGTCCAGCTCGTTCATTTCGGGGTTTTTAGTGCCAACACACGTCTCGAGGCTCAATTTTTTTCACTGTACCAATAAACGAATGCATTGTGAGTTGAGTCCCACCTACCTGTAATTTCAGGAGCGCTGACTCGTTCTCCGCCACACGAATCAACAGTGCTCTGTTCGGGTTCGAAACGAGGTAACGGTTTCCCTCGTCAATCATAGCTAACGAATTTTTGTGCAGGCGGGGGGGGTGTTGGCGAGTATAGCGAGCTACTGGCGAAATTGTACATGGGGCACTACTGTAGTGGCCATGACGCGGTGCTGTACCCTTGTTCGTGTGCCCGCTGATTCCAGTAACGTGAGTCAGACGACTCGAGGTACGTGCAGGGGGCGTGCCGTTTTGTGAACGAAAGCTGATTGTGTCCGCAGGACATGTTCAATACAGTGTTACAACAAAAAATGTGGTAACTGAGCGGGCTGACAAACAGTAAATGTACGAGCTGGACACCCCTGAGGTGCGACGAGGTGAGGGGAGGCGAGGTCAGGCAAGGCGAGGAGGGGTGAGGGGAAAGTAGGGAACATAGGAGGGGGGAAAGAGGGAAGTTAGGGGGAAGAGCGGCTTTCACCGCTGAGAGGGTTGGTGGAAGTTTGCGGGAAGTGAGTGCGGGAGAGGGGGCAGTAACGAGTACGCGGACCGCGGTGGGAGAACTTGTGGATGAGGACGAGGAGGAGCGGCGGCGGAGGGATAAGACGAGAACAACACATATGGAAGCTGGCATCGCGACGAATTCGTCTGGTCGTGATTTGGTACGAACCTTGAATGTTCAGATTTCGCGATCATTTGTCCTGCCGAAGCCATAAAACTCGTGGAGGCGGAGAGCGAACAAGCCAATGCACTCAAGATGGGATCGCTGTCAAGCCGTATCCATGTTACGTCTACAGTTCTCATCGAATCTAGCAAAGTGATTGTTCGCAATCATCTTCTTTTTCCGCATTGTCTGAATGCTCCTCCACCAAAGTTTGGCAATGGAAATGGGCAATTTCGCTACTTCAAAACGTATTTCGACATCCTAGATTACCACATTTCTTGGAGATACCAACTTCAGTGGGAAGCTATGTGTTCATTATTGAGACAGACCGGACAACAAAGCGCCAAGTTAATGGATACAAAGGATCCAAATCTCCCTTCTCACAGTGAAATTTATTATCTCGTTTGTTTTGGTCCGAGAAGACAGAAACCAAGTGTGGTTACGGTCTGAACAGAAATAACGACCACGATCACATCCAATCTAACCAACTCGATGAAATTATTCCAGTTGTTGTTTTCACAGCTTGGTGAGAGGATCTGTTCTTGTCAATTCGATATTAGAGCATTCAACGCACACTTCGGATAAAAGTCTATCACTTGGCCTACAGAATTCCACACACATATTCTATATGCAAATTCCAGGTTCAAGACTGCGTCATGTTTTGCATATGGATAGTTGGTGGATGTTAGTATTCATACAGTATATCTCCTGTGGTCGTCCCCAGTTCTACTTGAAAGTTGTAAGTTTGGACCCGTTTTGGATATGAAGATCTGCATCATTTGATATAGACTGACAAATGAAATGACCATATGGGCATCATAGGACCAGAGGGGGTTATCGCCGATGGTAAGTAGACGACACTATAAAGCAGCAGCAGAAGCAGCAACAACAGCAACAGTAAGGCAGGAGGGGCAGGTTGGTGGGGGAGAGGAGAGAGGACAGCACAGCCAACAACAGGAGGTTCAGCAGGGGCAGGGGAGGCCGGCGAGTGGGGTTGAGGAGAGGGGACAGCAGGGGCAGCAGCGGGATGGCCAGCAAGGGCAGGGTATGGAGGGGAGGGGATAGGGCGAGGGTGCGGGGGGGGTTGGGTTTGGGGAGAGGAGATGGGAGGAGGCAGGTGAGTGGGGGAGAGGATAGAGGGGCAGAGCCGACAAGGAAGGAGGCACAGAGGGACCAGGCACAGCAGCAGCCAGCACAGCAACAAACGCAGGCTGGACACACAGGCCGCAGAGGGACACCAGCCCGCATTCCGGACCTGAATTGCCGCGATATAGAAAAAACTTGAATGGTGTTGGTAGACGTCTCCATTACAAATCTACAGCAGCAGGGGAATACCGGGCTTAGACGAGTGGCCCCAGTGCAGAAGGATGTTGCAGCAGCTAGACGAGTACAGGACAAGTTGCGGGATTGGGCACCGCATATGGAGGGATTACAACTGCCACCACATTTTTATGCATGTGTAGTGGAGACAATTGGGTTGCTCAGCGAGCCAATCAGGTAGCTTTAAAGGTTTTGTGCGCGGCGGATTGCACAGCGGCGTTAAGACTTTGGTGGGGGGGAGCGACAGGTCAGCACGGATTTTCGAGATCGGGCTCACTACACGACTTTCCGAGGCACTGGAGCGAGCGCAGGCTCAGAGTATTATACAGCATGCGGTGCGGCAGTTGGGAGGGTCAGACGATGGGTGGATGCCCGCACCGGTCCTTTTGGGTGCGGGGCAGGGCAGTTGGCATCACATTACCGGCTGCTTTGAGAGTGTGGCAGACATGCAGTATGTGTACAATGCATATGTGTAGGCGGTTAGCGATTGTGCTTGAAATGCTGTGTCCCGCGCTGTGGTGCGGGTTGCTGTGGTGTTTTGGTCCTTAGGTCTTTCCTTCCTCTAGTTTCTTCCTCTCTTCCTTTCCTCTTTCCACCTTTCCTTCAACCCTTCTCTTCTTCTCCGCCTCTTCTCTCCTAATCACGTACGGATGACAGGCCCTCAAAATGAGTGCTCAAGGGTCGCCATCAACCTTGATTGTGGCGGCAGGTAGGTCTGTCTCAGACTCTCAGCTCTGTAGAAGTTCTCCATAATTGGTATGCCGAGTCCTCAGCAGGGTTAATTTTTTGTTCTGAGCAACCCTTATGATCAGTATGGCACTAGTTGAAAAATCTGATTATCAGTGTGAGACCTTGTGGAAAACCTTTTCCATCAGGTTTTTTGTCACTTATGAAAAATTGACCCTGTGGCATCAGTGTACGAATTTTACAAACCTTGATGAGTTGTTATTTACAAGGGACACACCAAAAATATTAGTCTTCATTATCAGACATGCCACAAGGGTCTTGCTCGTCGTCGCTTTCTTCTGCTGGCTCCGGCACTTTCTCTTTCCCCTTCCATTCCACTGGGGTGGCATGAGCCACTAATCTCGCCTTATAGTTTTCTGCTTGCGCCAAATCTGGACACATCTGGCCAGACGTACGAATACTTTCGCATGTGCAGCGTCAACAGGTTGCCAAGGCGTGCATCGCACAGCGACGTGTGCATCCAGCTTTTTATAATGTTCTTGTGACTATATCCTCTCTCACACTCAGCTGTGCTCAGTGGCAGCACAGCGAGGGCCTGCCAGAGTGTCATCAGGTTCGGATAGCTGCGGCGCGAATCCCTGCTCTTCAACTCATTTTGCAGACCCTGGTGGAAATCCTCCCC